CCTGGTGAGAAACTGTCCTGCTTGCTATTGTTGCCAAAAAATACACAGCATGTCTGAAGAATGCCCCGAACCTTCTTTAAATGAAATTTGTAAATCAGGTGCCAGAAACAAGGAAAAACAAAGAAAGAGGGAGAAAAGTCTTGAAAGGCTAAAATCCCAAACGACAAATAACAATGAAGAATATGGAAATAAAGAAGGGGAAAAAGAGTACAGAAACATTGAGGGCGAGAAAGAGGCTAGAGAAAATGAGGAGGAAAAAGAGAATAGTAAAAATCGGAGTAAAATAGATAACAATCAAGAAATAATAAAAACCAACAAGGGGGATCAAAAAGCAGGAGAAACACAAACTGACAAGGAGGTCAAAACACAGAACACAGGAAACAGAGGGGAAAAAATAAATAATAAAGAAACTAATATCAGTCTTGAAGACAGAATAGAGGAAGACAAGACCACAGCAATAGTTAGAGAAAAAATTTTATCAATAAGTTTAGACGCTACGCTATCCAAAGATGAACTCTTTGAAGAGGTAGAAAAAATAATAGTAAAAGAAGATAAAAAAAAGATTAGAAAAAGTAAAAGAGTGACTTCCCAGAATAACAAAAATAACATTCAAGTATAATAACCTAAATATTAAATCCATTAATATCTCCGGATTTCGAGATGAAGTACAGCAGATTTACCTTCTTAATCTTGTCATCACGCAACACACTGATATCCTTTTAATTCAAGATACCAATATGTACGACTTTCAAGACCTAAGGAAACTAAGAAAACTCTTCATACATTACAATATATACCTCTCCTTCGCCCCTAGACGAGGCACTGGGGTCATCACAATGATCAATAAAAATATCAGCGTGAATGACTTCAGGACAGATACCAACGGCAGGGTCCTTTCTGTTGACATAAATGTTAATAACAAGTTTATAAGGGTCAACATCATCTACGCCCCTCCACAATTAACAGATCGCAAACAGCTGTTCACCTTCCTCCCCAACTACCTTATAGGAGGAAGAGAGCTTATTATGGCTGGTGACTTCAACTGTGTACTCACACAGCTTGACAAAAATGGTCGCCTATTCCCAGACGGTTCCCGCAAAATTATTAGTGATCTAATTTCCAGCTACGAACTTAGAGATGCATATAGGTCTAAATACCCCCACTACGAAGGCTATACATGGGAAGGTAGAGGGATAATGGAACGCCTCGACAGAATATACCTCAGCAAGCACATTGGTAATGTCAATAATATAAACATCAATTTTCTAAACAACAACAACAAAAGGCTATCTGACCACAAGCTGATAAATCTGGATATCAACTGTCATCACAAGAAAAACAAACACATCAAAATCAAAATTAACAGTATCATCCTTCAAGACAACACCTTCCAGAAAGATATAAAAAATATCCTTGACATAAATAAAACTGACATTAATTGGCAGAAATGGCAGGACATTAAAAACAAAATAACCATTATAGCCAACAATACTTGGCTCCAAATCAAACAGAAGAACTTCAAAAAAATAAAACATCTTCAAAGGGAACTAAGTAGAAAAATAACTGACAATAATAGGGAAGCTGCGTTAGAAATAGAAAATGATATCAGTATTGAATATGAAAATAAAATAAAAGACAGTTATATTAACTACAGGATGAGCAAATTAGGAATCGAAAGGCATACTGAAAAAATAATTTTTAAAAAGAAAGTCAAACCAAACGAATCACTCTCTTTAGACAGCATTATTATAAATGGCATCCACGTAGCAGATGACAAACGCATCCTAGAAGAATTCCATAAATTCTACACAAATCTTTACAAAAAACCACCAACTGACTGGACCATCTGGCACCAAATAAGTGACAACATCCAACCAATAAAAAACAGAAACGAGGACATCATCAACAAACCAATATCAAAAAAAGAAATCGAAACCGCAATCGACCAACTCCATCTTAGAAAGGCACCAGGTATAGATGGCCTACCGGCAGAGTTCTACCGTTTCTACAAAGAGGACCTCACTGACATCCTAACCACATTATATAATAGTGACACCTTCAGCAAAGACTTCAACGCCGGAAGGATGAACCTAATCAATAAAAAAGGCAACAACAAAGGCAGTGTTGGTGACTATAGACCCATAACCATTCTAAACAATGATTACAAGATCTATAGCATAATCATAGCCAACAGACTGGAGAACATTTTTCGCAATAGTATAAGTACCACCCAAACAGCTGGAATAAAAGAACGTACGATACAAAACAATACAATGTTTTTAAATCTCATTCAGGACATCTACTCAAAGAGAAAGACCCCCCTCGCTGTCCTTTCTATCGACGTTGAAAAAGCGTTCGATACTGTGAACCGTGAAATATTATGGAAAATTCTTACCACATATGGCTTAAACAACGAAGAAATCAACCATATTCAAACCCTATATAAAAACCCTCAAACCAAAATTACCATCAACAATAACGATTCCGAATATATCAATTGTGAAGCGGGAGTGCGGCAGGGATGCCCCTGCTCGATGATTCTGTTTGCAATTTATATAGAAGGCCTCCTCGCCTCAATAAATCAAGACAACCTTATCACCCCCATATATCTCCCTGGTATGGTCGATAATATCAAGTACGTCGCTCACGCAAACGACCTAAACTTCTTCATCAACGATAATATTTCATTGAACAGAATAACGCAGAAAATAAATCTATTTTGCAATCTTACCGGCATGAAAATTAATCATAACAAGAGCAAAATCATCAATATTTATGGTCAAATCAAACTTGACACCACACCTTTCACTATCGTCAGTAACTCCAAAATATTAGGTGTTTGGCTGGGCAAAAACAGCAACAACTACAACATGAAAGACATGACTAACAAAATAAAAAACGCAATTAAAAACTGGGAGAAGATCTGGCTATACTTGCCGGAACGTATCATTATCGCCAATAAAGTCTTAATAGCAAAAATTATGTACACGCTTTATACCACCAACCTACGCAGACAAGACACCAGAATCATCGACAAACTAATTTTTGCTTACATCTGGCAAAGCGACTTCGAACCCGTGGGGAGGAACATCATGAGAAATGACATCAACCATGGCGGGTGGCGTGTTTGGGACATAAAATCCCTCGAGCAATCACTACAGATCTCGAACCTTCTGAACTCTATCATCACTCAACTCCACCCACTTAAAGATGTTGCCCTCTATATTCTTGGCCCATCCATCAGGCAGCACCCTATCAATCTACCCAATAGACCCTTCCTCATAGATAATAATACACGATATAGTGCCTGGAGATCTATAACAAAAACTCTAATAAATAATGGCCAAGCCCACGACAAAGTTATACCTAGCACGATCTACAGGAGCTTACACGTACAAAGCCACAACATCAACCTTAATGACAATACTGTATCGTGGAATGAAACTTGGATGAACCTCAACAGACTTCCTGCAGAATGGCGAGAAACTGCATGGCGGGTAATTAATAACGCAATGATGACCAAGGAGTATCTACACCATTACCATCGGCTAGCTAACGCCCGCTGCCCTCGCTGCACCAAAATCGAAAGCACTGCTCACCTTTTATTCGAATGCTCTCTTGCCAACAAAGTCTGGGAGTGGTTCTACAAAATCTTCAAAATCGACCTTAGCTGGTATACCATCAAATACCATATGAACTTTCCAACCATCAATCAAAACTCCTACTGCCTAAACTGGCTCATTGCACTCGCCAAGAGAACTATTTGGAAGGCGAGATGCGCTCTGCACTACGACAGAAAAAAATGGAACTCAACACTCACCATCAACAAATTAAAGGAGGAGGCCAATCTCAAACTACACACTGACCAGAAGCTTTTCACCGATAAAGAATTCTCTACCTTATACCATGGTACGATTAACATTATTTGGAAAAAGGTGAACAACACCTTTATCTTTAATGACGACTGGAATTAACTTCCAGTCATACCCTCTCCCCATCTATGTGCTACTATCACAGATGTCTAGTATGTCGGTCTTTAATCATGTAATAAAATCAACTTTCTGTAAATGCAGCACAGTAATGTGTCTTTCATCATGTAAGAAATTGTTAAATTATATTTTTATGTCATTTAAACAGATTACACTGCCCCTCTGTATATAACTGTAAATAAAAACTCTGTATCCTTCCCGGGCATTTATCTGTTGTAAAATGAAAAAACAATTATAAAATGTATATCATGTATAATCAATTCATACAAATGCTGTCTCAAGTAATGTACAATCAAATGTAACCACTTTATAGAATTAATAAACTTTAATTAAAAGTAAAAGTATCTGTTCTTATCAGCTTGATGGTTCCTCATTAAGCTGATCTACCCAGGATTAAAGCTGGATTCCGAGCCCACTTTGCTCCCTGGTTTTAGAGCCTACCTTGCTCCCTGGATTTGGACCTGGACCACCAGTGCGTAAGTATTGTTTTGGTTACTCTCTCTTTCCTCACTCTTCTCTCTTCCGCCGGAAGAGCGGCCTGCACGGTTTAAACGCACCGTGTATTCGCTGCTTAACCGGCAACACTTTCCTTTCTGCGCCACAGGACCCCAGGCCCTATAGCGCACTATCCGCTTTACCCTGGTACGGGAACTCGTTCCTGCACCAGTCTTTACCTCTTCCTGCCTCTTCTTGGTTGGCTGCCCCCGGCACCCCAGGAGGCCTTTTTTCCCTTCTTTTCACCCATACTACACATTTGCGATCTATGGCCACTCATAGCGATCTTGCCAACGTCACACTTCTAGTGCCTCTTCGCCCCCCTTATCACTGCCCAGCGTGCCTACCGGTCTACCGTGACTTGTAGACCACGGTGGTTTATCTAGGCATCTTCGCCGGGTCCACGGGGGCCACCTGAACTTTGAATGCAGGGTCTGTCACGTGCAATCAGAAAAGCTGAAGGAAATAAAACTTCATCAAGCACGATCTACCAATTGTGCAGGAGCACTTCCCTCGATGTCGCCCGACCACACCTGCAGAGACCCCAAGCCGCGGGGCAGAATTCCCACAGGTGCAAGACGACGCAACCGGTCAAAAGACTACGGCTTGGACGAAGCATACCTCGCCTCCCAGTCTGCCACCAACAACGAGGTAAGTGCTAGTCACCACCTACCTCCTGAATCTCCCCCAGCTGTCGACCCAGTGCAAGTTCCACCTGCCTCTGTGAGTCCAGCCAACACGACCTGCACACCGCCAAGGAACAATGACGACCCGAACCAGCCACCCGAGCCTGCCGCATCTCCATCATCTCCACCTCTAATACGTCGACCCCGTAGACGGACACGCCAACGCCGACGCCGCACATCCAGCAGCAGCACCGCCAGCCCCACCACTACTGGCCCCTCTACACTCGAGCCTCCTCCAGATGAGCCTACCACCAGCGTCGAGGACATCCACCCGCTTCCTCCGCCAACTGTCTCCATCCCCGAGGAACCACCTCCTGAGTCCGACATTACCAACACCAACGCCGAGCCTCCCGCCTGGGTGATCGCCTGGCGTGATCGCTTCGACTGCGCCCAGGACGAGGACATGCTTGAGGTAATGGTAAACGACCTGACAAGCCTCGCTCAGGACATGATGCCACAGCAACAAAGGCAGCACCATCGCCCTCGCCAAAATAGGCCTCAGCGCAGTCAGCAGCCCGCCCGCCGAAGGTACAACGCCCTCGAGGCAAGTCGTATCCAGCGCCTCTTCCGCGCCAACAAGCGGAAAGCCTTCGAGGAAGTGACCCGCGGTGCAAGCTGCTACTGCCAAATCAACAAGACAGTCCTTGAAGATCACTTCTCACGTGTCAACGGCCTGCGTGATGTCCCACAGGAGCCCCTAACCGATCTTCTTCCTCCCGCTCCTCAGCCTTCGACCAACGACCCGCTCTGCGCTACTTTCACCCCTGCGGAAGTAGCAAAGCGCCTCACCAAGTGTCACAACACGGCTCCCGGCCCCGACACCATTAAGTACTATGCCTGGCGCCGTCTCGACCCTGATGGCTACATCCTGGCCGCACTTTTTAATGCGGTCCAGCGTACGGGACACGTGCCCAAGTCGTGGAAAACATCAACCACCATCTTGATCCACAAAAAGGGTAACCATGACGAGGTAAGTAACTGGCGGCCTATAGCCCTCGCCAATACCCTTGGCAAAATTTACTCGGCATGCATTGCCAATCGCCTACTGCAATGGTGTGACTCCAACAACACCATCTCCACCATGCAGAAAGGCTTTATGCGCTTTGAAGGGTGCTCTGAGCACTCCTTCATCCTTCAATCTACCATCCAAAGCGCACGCCGCAGGAACAAAGAGTGCCACGTTGCGTGGCTGGACCTCTCAAACGCCTTTGGGTCGGTCCCCCACGCCACCATCCTCACCTGCCTTAAATGGTGTGGCCTCTCCTCTACCTCGATCGACTGCGTCATGGACCTCCTCACCAACTGTCACACCCGCATCCGGACCAGCTCAGGATACACCGACCCCATCCCTATTCAAGCGGGCGTCAAACAGGGCTGTCCACTCAGCCCAATCCTCTTTAACCTAGTTGTTGAACCTGCACTCCGCCTCGTCCACAACTTGAAAAAGGGATACCTCCTGCATAATCACGACATCTCGGCCCTTGCCTACGCTGACGATATTACCGTCGTCAGCAGCTCCAGAGAGGGCCTGCAATCGCAACTCGACACTCTCTCCCGCTGGGCACAACACAGTGGACTCTCGTTCAACCCTTCCAAGTGCGCCACCCTCTCCGTAGTAGGTAAGTACCACTGCGACGACAACTCCCACTTCACCATCCAGGGAGCCAATATACCGCAGCTCAGCAAAGATGACCACTACCTCCACCTCGGGGTGCCCACTGGACTCACACTTGGACGTTCTGCTGATGCTGTCATAGATGGGATTATCATGGACCTTAAACATGTGGACAACTCCTGCCTCGCCCCCTGGCAAAAAATAGAGTGTGTAAGTACTTTTCTCACATCTAGATTGACTTTCTACCTCACTCTAGGCAAAGTCCACAAGAAGAGGCTTACCCACCTCGACAACACCATCAAAAGATGCGTCAAGAGGTGGATGAACCTCCCTCAACGGGCCAGCCCGGAACTCCTATATATGCCACACGACCAGGGAGGCGCCAACATAACACCCTGTAATATCCTTGCGGACGTCGCACAAGTAAGTCACGCCGTGCACCTGCTTCACTCTAGGGATTCGACTGTTACCACCTTAGCCCTGGAGACCCTGAAACTCGTCGTCGAGAAACGAATAAAGCGACCACCAAGCGACGCTGACTTGTGCACTTATCTAGCCGGATCAACAGAACACGAATTCGGCAACGACCCATACGACGTCCCATCCGTATGGACCCGGCTCCGAATGGTGACCCGACGCCTCAAATCACGCGTCCACATAGACTGGCACCCCAGCGGCGACGGAAACCTCATACCCTCCGTCAACGGTCGTCCCATCACCGTGCTCAATGCCTCCAAAACCATCTCTGCGGCGGTCAGATGCTCCTTCCTCAACCAACTCCTGAAAAAACCGGACCAAGGTAAGGCATTTAGACTCACAGCCACCAACTCCAACAGCAACCACTTTCTGCGTGAAGGGAACTTCACCAGATTTGCAGACTGGCGCTTCATACACCGCGCCAGGCTGAGCGTGGTTCCCCTGAGAGGCCTCCGGAGATTCGGCAATGGAAGCCAAACGTGCCGCAGATGCCAACGACACCGAGAGACCCTCGCGCACGTTGTCAACCATTGCCCTCCCAACTTTAGGTTGATCACACAGAGACACAACGCCATCCTCGATCGCCTGAAGAAAGCCTTCTCCCACAAAGACCTTACCATCTACGTAAATCAACGGATCCCGGAGTTCCCCAGCAACTGCCGCCCGGACCTTGTGGTAATTAATCAACAACCCAAGACCGCCACCATCGTAGATGTCGCCATCCCGTTCGAAAACGGGACCGACGCCTTCAGCATCGCCAGAGCAGAGAAAACCTCCAAATACGCAGAACTCGCCAATTTCTTCAAAGAACGTGGATACGACACCTTCCTGGACGCTTTCGNCTGTCACACCCGCATCCGGACCAGCTCAGGATACACCGACCCCATCCCTATTCAAGCGGGCGTCAAACAGGGCTGTCCACTCAGCCCAATCCTCTTTAACCTAGTTGTTGAACCTGCACTCCGCCTCGTCCACAACTTGAAAAAGGGATACCTCCTGCATAATCACGACATCTCGGCCCTTGCCTACGCTGACGACATTACCGTCGTCAGTAGCTCCAGAGAGGGCCTGCAATCGCAACTCGACACTCTCTCCCGCTGGGCACAACACAGTGGACTCTCGTTCAACCCTTCCAAGTGCGCCACCCT